ATTTGAACCGCTGAACTGCTGATCTAGCAGTAGCTTGCAGTGCTGCATTTAACCACTGCGCCACCTTAGCTCTAATACGTGCTTTCGTCGACTGCGCTTTTGTCTACCGCGGTTTTGTGGTGGAACCGAGGGGAGCATACCTCACAGCGTGGCATACCTGGAGGGGAGCAGTGCTGAAGTAGAGTGCCTGGCCCACAGCGTGGGCTTTGTGGTGTAACCCTACGTATGTTGCCTGCTGGAGACTTATCTGTAAGAATGTGACACAAAACTGCTTCCTTATAGATGTTGGCCATTGTGTTAGCTATTTTTGGTATAGGGATAGATTTGTATTGGGTGCTTCATTTAAAAAAAAATAATTGGTTTTTTGTAGACTCCAAGTCTTGAACAGCCAAAAATGAATACAGCAAAAAAAGCAAAAACAGACAGTGGAACATCATTCCAAGAGGCCTGGACAGAGTTATATGGAGTCATTGAACGCAATGGGAACGCCTTATGTATTCTGTGTTACGAAAGTGTTGCGTGTTGCACATCAAGTGTCAGGCGGCACTTTGAAACCAACCACAAAAATGTTGTTAAACTTAGTGAAAATGAAAGGAGAGAGTTTCTTAAAGGCAGTTTTCAAATTTCACTGTGCTTAGCAAAACACAGTAAGCCCCTTTCTGATGGGGATATTATCAAAACAGCCATGTTGTCTGGGAGTAATTTCCTTTTTCATGATTTCCCAAACAAGGATAAAATTATTCAACGCATCTCTGAGATGCCACTAAGCAGGAATACTGTTGAAGATCGAGTCCAGTGCATGGCAAGTGATGTTAGTCAGCAGCTCATCACTGACTTACAAAAGGCAGTTTGTTACTCCATGTGCTTGGATGAAAGCAGAGATATAAATAATTTTGCAAGGCTAGCAGTAATTTTGCGTTATGCTGTTGGTGATGTCATGAGAGAAGAGCTGGTGAAACTGGTGTCGTTGCCTGAAATAACACAAGGGATAGATATCTACAATGCTGTGATGGAGGCTTTTTTGGCACAAGACATACGACCAGAAAAAGTGGTTTCAATTACTAGTGATGGAGCACCTTCTATGGTGGAGGCAACATCTGGTTTCATACAGTTCTTTGTTAAAGAAATAAAACATCAAGTCATTCAGTTCCATTGTGTTATACATCAAGATCATCTTTGTGCCAGGGAAAGCAGCAAAAAATTTGACGATGTCCTCAAAGATGTCACAAAAATGATGAATTACATCATGGCTCATGCTCTGAATTTTCCACAGTTTCAAGCACTTCTTGAGGAGGTTCAGGCACAGTATAATGGTTTATTTATGTACGATAATGTCCGGTGGCTGAGCAGAGGACGAGTCCTGGAGATATTTGTAGCTTGCTTGAATGAAATTAAGCTGTTTATGAATGAAAAAGGGCAGGAATATCCACAGCTCACTGATATGGCCTGGCTTACCAACCTCATGTTTTTTACGGATTTTACACTACACTTCAATGTACTGTACAAACAACTACAAGATGTAGGGAAAACAGCAATAAGGATGTTTTGTGATATCAAAACATTTGAGGAAAAACTGCAGGTGTTTGAAAGTGACCTTGAAAGTGGGCAGCTGAAATATTTTCCAAATCTAAAAATGCATTTAGAAAATTCTACATTTGCAGACGATCCTACAAGCCATCAGGAAATCTGCAGGGAATTTTCCAACATTGTAGCAGCTGCAAAGGTGAATTTTAGTAACAGATTTTTACAGTTCCGTAAGATGGAGACAACCCTGTGTTTTCTTACTTCTCCAGATAAAGTCAAATTTGAAGAACTTGATCTTTCCTGCTTATACTGGTTGGATTTAGAAAATCTGGAAATGGAGATATTGGAATTTCAAGAAAGCTCTATCTGGAAAAACAAATTCTGTAGCCTGCGTGAAACACTTGAGAAGATGGAAAGGATGACAGAGGGCAGAGTTGGTTCTGAAAATGAAATCCTTAAAGCGTGGAATTCTCTGCCAGTTACTTTTAAGTCAATGAAAGCACTTGGGATTGCTTTCCTTACTTTGTTTGGATCATCTTATGCTTGTGAGCAGCTGTTTTCAGCTTTGAACAATATCAAATCTAACACCAGAAACAGACTAACAGATGAGCTGAGTGCTGCATGTGTTGCTCTCAAACTTACGAAGTATGAGCCAAGGTTAGACAAATTATCAGCATGCATATAACAGCAAAAATCACCTTAACTGTTCGCCTTTCAATAAAAAGTTTTTTTTTAGCATTGAAAGCCCCGTTGTGGTTTTCTTTTAAGACAAAAGATGTTAATGTACGAGTTGTTTTTTCTAAACTAAAACCTCAGTATTCAGGTTAAGTTGCTGTGTTGGCACATTGCAACAAATAAATGGGCTTTGGTTGCAGTTTGGGGGCACGGTCTCAAAGGTTTGCCATCACTGGACTAGAGAATATTTGTATCAATGTGTATGTATATTGTGTGTATGTGTGTGTGATATGGTGCTGGTGTTGAGATTGTCAGAGTCTTGATGAAGAAGAAATAGACTCCATGTCAAACCTAGCAACTCAGTGACTAGGGTTTTTAATACCGTTCTCTCCCCCAGATATGGAGACCTAACTTCTTGATGGAGTACCATTTCCCCAAGTCAAGTTAGTTCACAATCTGGGGGGTCCTCACAGTCAGGAAGACCTTACCTCATATGCCAGATGTGTTGTTCCCAATTCAAAAGACTCTGTTTATGGCCATTGATGACTTCATTATTTTCTGGATGGGCTTGAATGTATTCTATAGGGGGCTGACCTGGAAAGTTAGTAAGTTTACTTTATTGTCATTGCACCTTGTACAACAAAATTAAATACCATCTTCAGTGTACATCATACATAAAACAAAACACACATTCTATACAATTGAATTGAAAACCCCTGATATGGGCATTCATATTGTGCTATGAGGTAGAATTCAATATGATTACAGCCCTGGGATAGAAGCTGTTTTTTAGCCTATTTGTCCGTGTTTTTATTATCTTGTATCGTCTGCCCAATGGTAATAATTAAAAAAAAGGGTGCCCAGGATGAGATGAAAGTTGTTGAAGATGAGCATTTGGAAATTGTAGCTGCTCCAGAAGGTGGCAGTGTGTGCCGTTGGAGACTCCTGTCTGATAAAGTGGACATGCTGCAGATCCCTTTTGCGAAACTGTCATTTAGAGAATCTAGAACATGTGTCTTTTCTGTCCTGTGAAATAGTCTGTCAGGATGGCTTTTCCTTTTGTAAGCCTTTTAAAATCCAACTCTTCCATTAGACATAAGGACAGAATAGTAATTGGAGCGTGGTCTCTGTTATTTATTGCATTACTTGAGAAATTGATTATATTTGCGTGCCATCTTTGTTGTTTTACTTTACTTATTTTTTGTTTCTTGCTTTGCTCAAATTGGCAGCCATCTGCACTTACAAAATAAACAAATAGCCCTACAATCCACTAATGATGCCAATGTAGGATTTCTTGTTATGGCAGACCAACCATCTGATCAACCACAGGGTGGATAATATCAACTGGATGTAATTATGTTAACATCTTTTTAAGGGTGCGTTGATGGTGACTTGTATGATACATGCTATAGAGCTGAGGTGGCGCAGTGGTTAGAGTGCAGTACTGCAGCAGACTGCTAGCTGAAGTTCAGCAGTTCAAATCTCACCGGCTCAAGGTTGACTCAGCCTTCCAGCCTTCCGAGGTGGGTAAAATGACCCAGATTGTTAAGGGCAAATGGGCAGACTCTGTAAACTGCTTAGTAAAAGCACTACAAAGTGGTGTAAAAGTGCTATTGCTATTTTCTAATCTCATGCTCCTGTTACACCAACTTTTTCTTTTTGCAAAGTATTAACGGATTGGATTTGGAAGCATTTGTTAATTGAAAGCATAATTTTATGTAATAAATTTACAGACACATTTACACATATGCTCTCAGAGCAAATGGAGAACCAAATTAATAGTTTAAAGTAGGGGATAAGGGAGATGGGAGAACATTTTTTGCCTTGAATACAGCTTGGCGGCATTCACCCTAATTCTCTCTTTTGTGGTGATGGCTTGCTTGGATGCTGTGTGGTTCTCTGGGAAAAGGTTTGCTGGAGTGACCCTGTGAATAAAAGAAAGCACAAGAATAAAACTGTTTTTTTTCCCCAAAGCGAAAACCACTTTGTACATTCTGAAACTCACATTTACAAAACCAGATATTTTAAAAGATATCTGTAGGTAGACTTTTCTTAATGTATTTTTGCACCTGGGATTTAGGGACATGCTACCTCCAGACTAGGCTGGAGCAATTCAGGTTGATGGACACCTGTTTTAAAAGTAAAGGTTCCCCTCGCACATGTGCTAGTTGTTCCCGATTCTAGGGGGCGATGCTCATCTCCATTTCAAAGCCGAAGAGCCAGAGCTGTCCAAAGATGTCTTCGTGGTCATGTGGCCAGCATGACTAAATGCTGGAGGAGCAAGGAATGCTGTTAACTTCCTACCAAATATGGTCCCTATTTTTCTACTTGCATTTTTACGTGCTTTCGAACTGCTAGGTGGGCAGAAGCTGGGACAAGTAACGGGAGCTCACTGTTACGCGGCACTAGGGATTTGAACCACCGACCTTTCTGATCGACAAGCTCAGCGTCTTAGCCACTGAGCCACCACACCACTGTTTTACAAAGGTGTTATAAGTGTTATACACATTTTACAAAGGTGTTATAAGGGAATTTAAAACAGGACAGTTGTGCTGATAGAAATAGACATTTTATTTGTATCAGCACAACTGTCCTGTTCTAAATTCCCTTAGCGCTGTTTTATTTTTTTAGTAAAACGCTAGTCTTGCCCAATGGGGTGTTAGATCCCTGCTGTTTTGACTGTCTAGTTCTGTAATTTTTTTCCTCCCCATCTTGCTTAAGGGACACAGAATAAATGAAAGTAAAAAAACCAGCTTCCTTTTTCCTATTGGATTTATTTTAACTGAAATACTGGGGTGGGGAGGGTGGAAGGACTATTTCTTTGGATGCTGCTGAACTACCATATTTTTCTGCATATAAGACGCACCTTAGTTTCTGGGGATGAAAGTAAGAAAAAAAATTCTGCTGCTGCCTACCAGCATCCATGGTATTCAGCTGACACACGTTAACAAGGTCAGCCAATGAATAGGCATAGCAACTAAATCAGCCAATGAGGGTTATTTGGACGCTAAAATTTGCTGTATGAGCAACGAGGAGACGGGAAGGAGCCTGGCTTAGCCAAGAACTGAAAGTGTAACTGCTTGTGTTTTGCTTGTATTTATTGCAGCTCCAGCCGAGGCACAGGAGGATCAATTTGAACAACTCTGGGTTGAGTTTCAAGACGTTACCCCCGGGGATGTGGACAAGGCCATGAGGGCTGTAAGTACCTCCACCTGTGTACTGGATCCGTGTCCCTCATGGTTAGTTACTAACTGCCGTGAAGTGACACGAGGCTGGATCCAGGCGGTTGTCACCGCCTCACTTCGGGAGGGGAACTTCCCCGCCGCACTGAAAGCGGCGGTGGTGAGACCCCTCCTGAAGAAGCCATCTTTGGATCCAGCTATCCTTAATAATTATCGTCCAGTCTCCAACCTCCCCTTTGTGGGAAAGGTTGTTGAGAAGGTGGTGGCCTTCCAGCTTCAAC